TGGAAAAAATGACCTGCACTTGAGGGGAGGGTGCGAACTAAAAGGTTCAAAGGTAACCAGGTCATTCACTTTATAACACAGAGGTGTAAATGTCTGTGTGCTGCTGTACCGCTTTCCTTGTGACAACCGGTTTGTTTGCGGGTTCAGTTTAGAATTAGGTTAAAGTTGGATTGATAGTTGTGAAGGTTAAAGGTTTAGTATGCCTGAAATGAATCAGGTCGTAGGCGTGTCATTCCACCACGTCCGACGGTAAAATTCACCAGTTTTAAAAGACCAGAGTCTGATTTAGTTGCATCTAGTGGTGAAGTTTTAGTTTGAACATAATTGAACACCGCTGGTGTCTGTATTTGACAATCTGGGAATGGTTGGTCCGTTATGGGCTACTATAGAAACATGGTAGTTCAACATGGCGGACTCAATGGAATAAAAATGACTTTAAGATAACAAAAACACAATGATTAAAACATACCTATCAATATTATATACAATTTTTGCCAATAGATCCTCAATGTCATGGCGTCGTCCAGTCTGCATCCCACTTCCAAGAGCCGGACTGGGATAATAATCCAGTCGGAGAATCAGCCCAGGCCGATCTTCACCGCCTCTCGCACTCCACGCACCTTCTGAATGTTGTGTACGTGCGTGTGACTAATCGTGTGAGATGACAAACCGAGATACTTAGCTGGCCAGAATACAGGGAATTCTCCCGATGCTCAGGATGGCCAGTCTGGGCCTGCAACTGCCTCCTTTCAGCCTGGAACTGTGTGTCTTTTGTCAGACGTAGAGAGGATAGGGAATTAGTTTCTCCTGTGTTTTGCTATATTATTAACTATATTCTTCTCATGATATGCAAAGACATGAAATACCTTGCCTATTTCCTCACTGATGATTTGAATGATGATCCTTATTGACAGTGTCGTAAACTTTATGCTCCGGCTAATATGTTGATTCGCAAGTTCAGTATATGTTTTGTAAAATGTTCATTATCGAGAGCTTTCTGCACACCTATGTATACACCTCATTCTTGGTGTAGCTACAGGAACAGTAATATGTGGAGGCTCATAGTAGTGTACAGTCATCCAATGAGGTTGCTGCTTCTGATTACTCAGATTGCATAGAGCCAGTGAACTGTTTGTGTCCTCTGGTGTTCATTCTTCTTGGACATCTGATGTGTAATCCTACGTGTTGCTGCAGAGCATCAGCATCATAGAGGCCTTAACAGCGGCAGGAAGAGCTGCTCTCGTTACTCCCACAGGCTCAGAAAACACTGGCGAGTTAGCACACATATAAATGAATGAATGACGTATGGTTGTGTTTTTATCACATCTTATTTTTTCCTTTCTTTTTATTGCTATGGACCGTCTTGTGAGTCTAAATTAAAGTTTAAATTGAATTGTATATCTTCATAGTCTGGACATAAGGTATCTTATGAACTAGGGTAACATCGCACCCTTTCAGACAGTCTCTCTACGAGTACGTTCAGGTTGAAAAAAAGCTGGCGAGAGAAGTTCAAACCCTGCCACGACTCAATATATAATTACAGCATAAAAGGAGGTGTGAATGTTGGATTAGCTAAAGTTACAACAATGCGTGTGGTTGTGTTGCTTCAGGCAACGCTGAGGCAATGATATACAATCAGGAAAACCAGCTTGAGTAACAGATCTATGAATCTGAAGGCTTCTCAAATACCAAAACGCCGCACAGGGGTTTGCAATACAGGATTTTATCTGCCATCGAGATACATAAGGAGTAGAAATACATTGTTCAGGAATGTGTGATTGAATGTATGTGATTGGTCAAAGCAATGTCTTGCCAGATGACATTGCACTGCTGTAAGGCCATTCGTGAGGCCAGTGTTTTTATGATGCAGGTCTGAAGTCGGTCTGAGCAAGAGTCTACAAGAACTGTCAGATGCAGCCTCCTCACCATGGACAGAGTGAAGTTGGTAAAGTTAAGTAAAGTTCAGACATTGTTAATGAAGAAGCACAAATTCTGAAGCATACTGGCGCCTTTAAAAGAGCACCGATTTAGCATTGCACTCCTATACCGGTTGAATGGTATAGACGCTCGAAACAATGACTTTGGTAACCTGTGAAAAATCTAAATTGATTGATTTGATTGAACACATTTAGGTCATATTTTACCAGGATTTCCAGAATCCACTACAATGTGTTATTAACAGCCTATTGTCACTTTCTCAGTTGAAAGCCAGTATAAATATAAAACACAGGAGCCAAACTGCAGTCACCTGGGGGAAAGTCCTACCCTTAACTTACTCATCAACCACATCTTCCTGTTGATGTGGATTTGTGGCTTCCTGTATTAAACGTCTGTCCTATTTACTGAAACTTCCTGAGGACTAAGGCTTAAAGACTACGTACACGCAATACTGCCATTCCTTATACCTAGTAGTAGTTGAAGCTGTAACTAATACGCTTGCACATGTGTGTCACAACAGTTAGCAGTTTCTTATTTTACATTAATGTACAGAACTTCTCCTGCTACAATGTCCTTCTCGACTGCAGCACACAGCCTCAATTCTGACGCTTTAAATGAAACATTAATTGCTTTGAAATGACATCTTCCTGTAAACATTCTGCCTACCAGTGCAATATGACTTTGGAGAAATATATTCACAACAATTTACAACTGAACAAATGTTCAAAATGATTAAACAAATTTATGTTTTGTGACTTGTTGATGTTGTAGCTGCATTTTATCTGGTTGAAAAGATAAGTGTTCTACTAGAAATACACGTTGATCCCGGTTGATGCTCACTGGGATGGAAAGTTACAAAAACAAAAGTAACAAAAGAATCCAAACTGATGCAGCAGAACGTATCGTATTTTTTATTGCTCACATTCTTCTATCTTGTTAAATCCTGGCACCTACAATACGTCTCGACCACCAACAGTTCTGTCAGAGATTTATTTTGGTGTGTCTTATGCTAGCAGTGGCTAGTAGCCTCAAGCCTCAACATCCCTCCACACCTACACATTTTTATGACTTCAGCCCCACCAACACTGCCACAATTTAAATTTCTATTCACAGAGCTCCCTCTGCAGTCTGTGAACTGTGTGAAATCAGAGGAATTCCCATTGAAACACGCTATCATTGCTGACATCACTCACTGACGGGCAACAAGCTCCACATACCTGCACAAACAGTGCAAACAGTATAATGGAGTATTATGTGTCCCTTCCTGTTTGTTCAGTGTTGTTTATCATTGTGTGTGTGTGTGTGTGTGTGTGTGTGTGAGAGAGAGTGTAACTGTAATCTGACCGGAGACTGCAGATCCAAATACACTGTAGCCCCCCACTCCAACACCAAATTACAACATGTATGTCTAAAATTGGTCATGGTTCCTTCCAAATAACAGTAGATAAATGTGTATAGATGGCATGACTGACCAACAACATATTCAAGAGTTACTGTGCTGTGTGTGTTGTTGTGTTGGTGGTTTTCCTCCATGTAATCCTTCCCCAGACTTTCACAGACTGTTTATTCAGCTATAAAGCTATAAAGAGCTTAATAAAAGAATAAGGTTTCCAGATCACCAACATCACAATCAGCCAGTAGAATGTAGAGCGTGTGTGTGTGTGTGTGTGTGTGTGTGTGGTGTTCAATAGCCATCGGTTAGTCATTGTGCTAAGTAAAGACCCAACACCTGCTGCGGTGGATTTACCAGGACAGAGGAGCACTGGAGAGAGACAAGAGAGATACATTATGTGGCCAGAAGTTTGTGGACACCTGAGCAACCACATATATATATACACATATATATACATATTCCACAATCACAGGCTTTAATCAGCCTCCACACCTCTGGATCTGAGGTTTTCCACAAGATGTTTGAACCTGTCTGGAGGGATTTGCATGGATGTTTTACATTTTATACTATATTATGCTGATACTTTATACGGTTTTATTACATTAATGTGTTATATTTCTGTACTAATACATACAAACACTAGGGAATCATAGTAGCATGCAGGAGGTGTAGCTGCTTGTAGTTATTCAAACTCCTTTTAATCTGTTATTTTTTGCGCTTTATTGCTGAAACATCACTGAATAATGTCTGATTGGATTTCAAGGGACTAAATCAAAATTGTTTAAATCAACTGGATTCAGGAGGAGTGTGAAAATGTTGAGTTGAGCAAAATCTGTATTTATCATTTCTGCTCTCTTCCTTTAATTTCAATCCAGAGGCCGCTTTATGATGGCTAATAACATATTGTTATGGGAATATCATTTATTTAAAGGAAGGAAACAACATATATGTGGACTTAAAGCTTGAATTGCTCTTGTATCATTTGTATTTTAATTTTTTCATATATACTTTTTTCTATTAATCTGTATTTATTTCTGT